GCCCGCTTGCTCGCGCCGCCCGCCCGCGGGGCTGCCAGCCCCCGCGGGGCCGGGGCCATGCAGGAGAGCCAGACCAAGAGCATGTTCGTGTCCCGGGCCCTGGAGAAGATCCTGGCCGACAAGGAGGTGAAGCGGCCCCAGCACTCCCAGCTGCGCAGGGCCTGCCAGGTGGCGCTCGGTGGGTGAGCCGCTCCGGCCCGGCCCCGCGCCGGCCTCCCCACGCCGGCCGTTATCCCGCCGGCCTCCTGGCCTCCACCTCCCCCGACCTCGAATCCCACCTTCCCGGCCCCCTCATGATACCCCGGGGAAACTGATGCCCTGGGAGCTCGGCACTGGCCCAAGGTCACCTAGCAAGTTAGTGACAAGCTGGTGCTAGCTCTCCAGCCTCCCAGCCCAGGGCTCTTGCCACGACTCCCTGCCGTCCTGTTTCCTGGTTCCTCCCCTCACCACCCTCAGAAGCAGTAGCCCTTGCCCCAAGTTTTTTCTTTACTTGGTTCTTCTAGTTAGGGTTCCCCACGTGAGCAGAGCAGGTGGGAAGAGCTGCTCAACCGGTTTAGGGAAATCCCTGAGGCTTGCTTTCGAAGTCCCGGATTGGAAAATGTTTTCCTTTAATTTGGGGCTCTCCCATAATTCCGTCATATCCTACACTTCCTAGGTAGGTGCAAGAGATCTGCTTATTGCGGGCAGTTCACTAAAGTAGAGGGTGTATGAGGGCAAAGAGACTCGTCTGTTTTATTCACTGCTGGACCCCCTGCACTCGCAGGAGTGCCTGGCACAGAGTAGGTGTTGACTGAATGGACCCACAGATTATGGAAAGAGGGAGAGAACTCTAACTCATAGCTAGTTAAACCCTTGGTAGTTGATTACAACATCAACATGTTGTCTTTTACTTTTAAGCATTGAAATATTTATCAAATGCCCACTGTCTACTAGGCGCTGTGATGGGCACTGAGGATACGGTGGGGAATAAGGCAGACAAGGTATTTGCCCTTGTGGCACTTGTACTCAAAGGAGAAACAAAAAAATATATAAGAAAATTATGAGACATTTTTGAATACTGATAAATACTTCTGTGAAAGTAAAACAGCAAGATGTGATAAAGAGGGCCTGAGGACTGCTTTTGATAGGTTGTCAAGAAAGTAATCCTTTCTGAGGTGACATTTGAGCTGAGTCCTGAAAGGCAAGAAGTATCCACCAAGTGGAGTTTCAGGAGAAGAGAGTTCTGGGCAGTTACATTTGCCCACGGCTAGCTTCAAGCTAATTCACCACCCTGATGCCTTTGGTTTGGAATCTTTAAAAAGACCTGTTTTTTCCTAACAAATTGACTGAGTCAATAGAAAATGTGATTTTTCTGTCAAAGAGTTTGAAGTTGCCATCACTTTTCTCCCCACAATTGGTATAAGGTATAGTGCTGGCATTCTTTTCTTGGGGCCTAGGGATGAGCTTGTGAACTCTGCACTGCTGGGGAAGAGGGTCCATGGCTTTCATCCGATTCTCAGAAGGGTCTGAGGCTCCCTCAAGGGTCAAGAACTATTGATGGAGAGGTTGTTGTTGCTTAGATAATCTGGAAACAGATGTTAGTCCTGTGAAATCCAGGATCAATTGGAGGAATTTACTGAGATTTAGATTTGTAAAGCTTTTCTATTCAGAAAACCAAGGCTAACTGTTGGATACTGTTTTATCAGGAATGCAGGATAAGCACTACAAAGCAGTTTGTTAGGCAAAAGCCCAATACTTAGAACTCTATTTTGAAACCTGCCTGGATTCTGTCCTCTCAGTATTACTTTAAGAGTATTGTTGCAGAAATTTAAAAATAGTAATCTGGCAGAAAAGTTTTCATTCCTCCTTGTCAGAAGACTTGACATAAAATTTTCACCAAACTATGTATCACATTGTTGAAACCTACTTAAAAATTGCCTTATGGGTCATAAAGGGTCAAAACATTGAGAGCTTGTTAGATATTTTTTGCATCATATCTTTGTTCAGAAGTTCAGATTTTTCCAACGCAAATTGTGGAATGCATGTTCAATGTTTTAGTAGTGAATTGTAAGAAATAGCTGATATATGGGGCGCCTGGGTGGCTCAGTTGGTTAAGCGGCTGCCTTCGGCTCAGGTCATGATCCCAGGGTTCTG